AATAACTTCACTAAAGTATAAAACGTGGTACGACATTATACATAAAATTCTTTTGTTTGGTTAATCAATTGACCACGTTTCAAAAACAAAGTATTGCTTGATACAACAATACAATTAAAATACCATATTAGTATATAGTATGAGCTCAATATGAGCTGTTGAATAATATTACGAATCTTAAATTGGCCTATGTTACAAGTATACAACGAAATGCCAAGTAATTTCCATTTTGAAAGCTTTAACTTAGAATAAATCTGATTGGACGTAATCTTCTCTGTTTACTAGCATTCTTTCGTTCTCCGTTCTTTCCCTGTATAAATTGCACAAGAACAAGATTCCCAAATTACATGTACAAAGGGATTTTACTTTAACGGTCGGCCATTATAAGAATTAAAAGTAATTTCATACTTTTACTGCTTTATACATCTATTTACATATACAACAGAGCTGCCAAACAAAGGTGTAGAAGAAAAAATTTTGGCAATTCTGAAGATTATAAAATTTCAGGTATACGTTAATACTAATGATTTGAAATGTATTTGTTGCATTATTTGTGAAAAAAACGTATTCAAGAAAAGCTACGAGGTAACTCGTGTTGTCGTACTCTTTACGTTTCAGTCTCATGGAGTTCTTGACGCCATTGTCCTATATGTCAAAGCCTAGTGACTTTTAATCTTTTGCATAGCCGAACAATTAGATATGCGAGACAGTTGTTTCGAACTTTTTCTTTCGTTTCGATCCATGGCATCTTATTAAAAATATCCAACGATAAAACAGCACAAGATCAATGGTAATAAAATTTTTCTTCTCTCTTATATTATCTCCGTAAATATTGCTATGGTATTTCATGCAATTACGATTCAGGTTATCGCTTTTTCAATGCATCATGTTTTTCACAAGAATACGTAAGATCAGAAAAGGATAGATCTATATCGTCCGGAAAGGCATCTTTAGGCACTTTTTGATATGTATGTACATTTCGCGAAGATTATGAACTTTTTTTGTTTAACACAGTTTCTTTCGAAATTTCCTACTAAATGTATTCGCTTATATAAATAAATACATTTTTTCTTGGTCATTTTTTTTTCTTTTTTTTTCTTTTTTTTTTTTTTT